GGACGAGGAGGCCGCGCGCGCCGCTGGGGCCGGGAACGAGCGCGCGCCGCGCGTGGAGGAGAAGGCCGTCCGCCCGGAGCTACTCCCGGGGTTGCGCGGCGGCTCAGCTCGCTCCCGAGGTCCGGCCCCGCCTGGAGGCGGGCCCGGCGATTACTCACAATATTTTTAGGGGATTTCGGGGGCCCCCGCCCGCCGATCGGAGGAGTTGGTGATGTCACCCAGGTCCCGTCTGGAGCGAAGCCAGGGCCGCTGGGCTGCGGCCGCCCGCCTGCCCCGGGGAAGGCCCAGGCTTGCGGTGCCCGCGAGGGCCGGGTGGCTGCACTCGACCCAGGTTTTTCGTCATCGCTAAAGGTGTCTTTTGGTGGTAGTTGCTTCGGAAACTCTTGTTCATTTCCTGTCCACCCCAATCAGATGCCGTTGGGGGACAAGAGAGCGCCCTGATCCCACACCTGACACTGGAGCTGCGAGGAGCTCGCCGCAAGGAGGGACGGCCGAGGCTCAGGCCTGCGTCCCTCCTGCCGGCGGGCCGGGTCGAGTGGGACCTGGGCTCGGCGCCTCTCCGCTAAAGCGCCGATTTGGGATGCAGCTGGACCGAAGCAGTGGGTGGCAGGGGGCGCTCAGGGGTACAGCTTTGATTCTCGTCTGTGCGGCCTGCCGTCTGCGTCTTGCTAGGGGCCGCTCGAACCCGCAGGGTCACGTCCCCCGCCCGTCTCCCCAGGGTCTCCAGCGAGCGTCCAGCCTCAGCCATCGGTGGGACACTTCCACTAATTAACCGCCGCGTCTTGAGACCCCTCGACGCAGGCATCGCCCCCAAGCCCAAGGCGCGTGCGTGCCCCGTGGGGGTACCCGACTGGAGCTGGGCGACCCCTTACCCTAGACCACCTCTTTCTAGAATGAGGATGGTCCACGGCGGGGTGCGGAGTCCTCTCCAGATGGAGAAAGACTTTTGTTTTCTCGGAATTCGTTTTAAATTAAGAAATCATTTGGGAATTGGAAAAGACTGGAAATTCTGATTTGCTTTCCCAGGCTCTGAAAAAACAGGAAGACAAAAGTGAAAACGAAGTTACCACCTCTCCCACTCATTTCAGTTTCTCCTGGGGCCCTAGTTAGAAAAGTCTACTCATTTTTTGGAGGAGGCTGACTTCAAGTCGATAGAATGGATTAATGGAAAATCTTTGCTTAATGATGTATAACCATCATTAATCCATGCATGATGCTCTTTTATATATATTAACTTTCTTGGGACAAATTATGTTTCCTGGATCTATGGATTGATGTTTTTCATCAGTTGTGAAAGATTCTTATCCATTATCTCTTACCGTAATATCTCTCCTCACGTTTTTCATATGCTCTTTCTGGAACTCATTAATAAAATGATTAGATAGGCCACAGAAAAAAATGTTTGCAACACATATCTGACAAAGTACTTGTATCCAGAATATGTAAAGATCTCTTACAAAGCAACAATAAAAAGACAATCCAATACAAAATACAAAAGACTAACAGAAACTTCACAAATGATATACAGTGAAACCTGTGAGAGCTGGAACTTGACGAGACTGTCTTGTTTTTCCAGACCAGATCTGGTAAGCTTCCCGCCTTTGACAGGATGCAGCCTTACCACTTTTCTGTCACTTGTTTTAGTGGAAAATATTTGAGTTTTCCTTCTCTGACAGGATTCTGCCTTATACAGGCTCCAGCTTTCGCAGGTTTTACTGTACAAATAAATGGTCAGTAAACACTCGAAAGGAGTCCCTGGGTGGCACAACAAGCTCTCTACTACTACTAACCAAAAGGTTGTCAGTTCCAACCCATTCCTGCGTCAGAAGAAAGGCCTTGCAATCTGCTTCTGAAAGGTCACTGCCTTGAAAACCCTATGGAGTGGAGTTCTACCGTGCACACATGGGGTCGCCATGGGTCCGAACTGACTCGACGGCAAGTGGCTTGGTTTTTTTGCTTTTGTTTTTTTTTAACACATGAAAAAATGTTCATCAATAGTCACCAAGGAAATACAAATTGAAACTATAATGAGATGCCACTTCACAGTACTAGAATAAAAAAGCCTAAAACACCGAAGGATGAAGAGGATGTGGAGCAACTGGAACTCTTACAGCCGAGAGCATAAACCTCTTTGGGGAACTGTATGGCACTCTCTTATAACGTTAAATCTATATTCGCCCTGTGGCCCAGCAATTTCTCAAGATAAATAAAAAAAATTATGTTCACAAAAGTACGAAGATGCTTATAGCTTTGTTCATGATATGAAAAAGCTGTAAATTACCTAAATGTCCATCAACAAGAGAATGGATAAACACGTTGCGGTATAGACATACAATGGACTGCACTCAGTTATTGTACCTTGCACCTTCTCCCCCTGGAAAAGAAGTACAGTGTCTGGTAGACTTTTTTCGGGACTTAGTGCCAACGCGTACCATGGGAATTCTGATCTGACCCATTTACTGGGTAGGTTGAAGGCCGTCAGATTTGAATAGGCCTCAGAGCAAGAGAAAGCTCTACGGCATGTTCTGGCTAAATACAAGGATCCCTGCAACTTGGGCCTTACGAGCCAGCAGATCCCATAATGCTAGAGGTATCTGTGTACGATAAAGATGCCATGTGGAGTCTCTGACAAGCCCTGGTAAGGGAGTTGCAACTCAAAGATGATCTGCAGGAGAATCTATTCTCCCATCAAAAAGCAGCTTCTGAAAGGCTACCGGGCCCTGGTGGAGACTGAGTATCTGTCTGTGGAACAGAACTGACAATGCAACTGGAGCTGCCTCTAGCATGATCTGGGTATTTTCAGCCCTACCAAGTTCAAAGGGATGTATTCAAGGTTGGGCCCCGAGCAGATCAAAGAGCACAAGTAAGTTTCATGACCATGTGCCCTGATTCCCATCTACCTCTACTGTTTCAATATATTTTTCTCAGTTCACATTTATGGCCTCTTGTAGGTTCTCTATGACCTGCTAACTGAGAGGGGGAAATTTAGGCTTGGTTCATGGGTCAATCAATGAAATCTACCATCCTAACAGACTAAAGAAGAAAAACCGCACAATCGTATCAATTGGCGTTGAAAAGCTATTTAATAAAATTCAACATCAATGCAAGATAAAAACTCTCAGCAAATTAGGTGTAGAAGAGAACTTCCTTGACCTGAAAACCTGGTGAAAGACTGAATGATTTTTTTCCTAAGAATGGGAACCAGGCAAAGATATTCATACTTACCACCTATTTTCTACATTGTCCCAGAGGTTCTAGCCAATGCAATAAGACAAGGAAGAAAAAAAGTCATATAGATTGAAAAGGAAGAAATAAAACTGCCTTTGTTCTCAGACAACATGATTGTCTAGGAAGAAAATCCTAAGGAATACACAAAAAAAAGCTACTAAAACTAATAAATGAGTTTAGTCAGATTGCAGGATACAAGATGACTATACAAAAAGGAACTGTATTTTTGTATGCTATCAATAAACTACGGTAAATTGAAATTTTTAAAAATTTACAAAAACATCTAAAAATATGAAATTCTTAGGGATAAATTTGACAAAAGATGTGCAAAAACAGTATGCTAAAAACTACAAAACATTGCTGAAAAAAAATTAAACAAGGCCTAAATAGACATACTATGTTCATGGATTTGAAGATTGAATAGTGTTAAGATAGCAATTCTGCCCAAATTTATAGATTCAATGCAATCTCAATCAAAATTCCCGAAGGCTCTTTTTGTAGAAATTGACAAACTAATTTTAAAATTCATATGGAAATGCAAAGGACCTAGAATAGACAACATATCTTTGAAAATTAAGAACAAAGTTGGAGGACTGACTCTACTTGATTTCAAAGTTATTATAAAGCTGCAATAATCAACGAAGTGGGATATTAGTGTAAAGACAGCCACATAGATCAAAGTAACAAATTAGACCAGAAAGAGACCTACACATACATAATCAACTGATTTTTGACAGAGGTATCAAGGCAATTCAGTGGGGGAAAGGATAATCTTTTCAAGAAATGGTCTGGACCAATACAAACACACACACACGCACAACAATAACAGCAAACTAATCCTTGATCCTTACGTCACATCATATACAATAAGTTGTTTCTTGTTTTCTTATTTCCACTGGTATTCACTCATGATAGTTTATTTTCAT